CTGACGGACGGATGGATGGATGGATAGATGGATGGATAGATAAACGGATGGATGGATGGATGGATGGATGGATGGATGGATGGGTGGATGGATGGATGGATGGATGGATGGATGGATAGATGGATGGATGCATGCATGCATAGATGTATGGATGGATGGATGGATGGATGGATGGATGAATGGATGGATGGATGGATGGATCGGTGAATGGATGGATGGATGATGGATGGATGGATGGATGGATGGATGGATGGATGGATGGATGGATGGATGGATGGATGGATGGATGGATGGATAGATGTATGGATGGATGGATGGATGGATGGATGGATGGATGGATGGATGGATGGATGGATGGATGGATGGATGGATGGATGGATGGATGGATGGATAGATGGATGGATGGATAGATGGATGGATTGATGGATGGTTTGCTGGACGGACGGACGGACAGACAGACGGAGGGACAAGTTGTATGGATATCTGCGACCCTGTCAACCAAACCTGGTCTCTCGACCAGGACCAAGGTCGCGAGTGGGTGGATAACTGTCCCACTAGCCTTTCGGATTGGTCTAATCAGCTGTCTACGCATTCGGATTTCTTTCGTGACGTGTGACCTACAAAACCAGCGAACGTGTCCACGCCGCACGTCGGCGGCGCTTCGCTGGAAAAAATCACCGCCGCTCGCTGTTGTTAGGCGCGCGCACACACACGCACAATCGCACTGTTCTACTGAGCACCGTCTCGCCTGCGCTGCCTCGTTGTTCATGTTTCCACCTCGCCGCTTCCGTGCACGCCCCGCGAGTTCAACAGATCGCGCTATACTGCGCTCTTTCCGCTCACTGCTGCGAATGAGGTGCGCTGGCTTTCTTGAGACTCGGCTCGAGATAGGAATCTACGCGGGCGGCCAGCCGTGGCGGACGATCGAGGGATGGTGGCTAGCGGACAAGTAGAGCAATGCTACCGGCGCGTCGGTGCCATTGACGTGTGGCCACCGTCAACAAACTCGACGTCTTAATACGAGAAAGCGACGTACGCCTTCGTGCGTGTGGACATGCTCCGTGGTTTACGGACGCGGTTGTTAACTGTTTTTTATGCCGTTGTCCTGCTACCTTGGATGGCCCGTTGGAATTGGAAAGTGATGCATGCAGCTGTGCCGTTTGCTGCAGTGTACGCTCGATTCCTCTTTGAGCTTTTTTAGAAATCACGCCAACGTTATATCCTCCGTATCTTGTATCATCACCGTGGTGCACAACGTGTCGTCATTGAATGAAGGTGAAGGGCGCAAGAGTCGGCTTGTGTATTGCCACACGATTTAGAAATCGATTAGAAATCGATCTCTTACTATGTGATTATGAATGTGATAGAAATTAACTATACTAGAAGATGGTTCAAAGTGTAAGAGTGACTACAGAAAAGCGAGAGTTCGGATAACAACGTATTGTAAACACAAACACGACAAGCAGAGATGCTAGAGGAAAACACAATCCGCTGCTTCAACTTCGCTACACTATTGTAAGTTTGTACGATTAACGATAGAAGTTTACATACTGCGATTGCACTATTACTTCATTATATTTATACTGTGAACTATAAACCTATTCAAGAGGAAGGATCGATAACGCGTGTTAACCCCCTTTCTTGTACCTTGGATTTGCTTCATCTTCTAACGTATGTAATGTTTTTATCTAACTGTGCTAAATTTGGCCGCCGGCCCGCGTAAACTAAATGAAAGAAATTCTCAAAATAGGTTATTCGTACATAGATGTCACCCGTGAAAAGTTATTGATGAAAACTGCCTAATATAGTGATCGATTTCTTCAATAATCCATAAAAGCACCAAATAGTAGTAGCCTTCATAGCAAAAACAACAACAATATATATATATATATATATATATATATATTGTTGTTGTATATAACTTGTTGTATGTATATTATTGTAACTTAACGTTAACTTAATATTTATACTGAACGCAAATCCGACGCCAAACTGTTGAGATAAGTGTGCCCAACTTTAACTTTATAACACGCTTAGTGCATGATGTAACGTTACTAACCTGCTGTTACATATATTAATACCTTGTTATAACGTGTAGTGTGGTAGGGTTGTGGGCATGCCAATCATCATAAATATCACTAATAACCTGTTCCGTGAGTACCTGCCTGCTTTCACGCCCCTCCCGCTCTAGGGCGTGAACGTACCTGTGCTAACGTTCATGTATCTTACACGCGCATTTATAAAATTAATGGTTAAGTCCATCGCTCGGTGATTTGGCTACATGTATCTGTCTGACTGTCTGTCTGTTGGTCTGGCTGAGTGGGCGGTTGGCTAGCTGGCTGTTTGGTTTGTTGGGTGGTGGTGTATGGTTGTTTGTCTCGCTCTGTCTCTCTATTATCTGACTGTTTTTTCGCTCCAATTTATTGTCATCGTTCTGCTTAGAAATAGAATAAATAATTTCACTGGAGGGTTTGCCTAAATTCCTTTCAAGATACCAACAAAAGGATGCGCCAACACAGCGTTGTCCTGATAGGACAACCTTGTGTTAATCAATCAGTATATAGTAGCAACAGCTCGTAATCAGCGCTGCTAGAACTAATCTCCTAATCTTCACACTAGTTGAGCGATTTTCGAAGTGATCGTGAAAAGACTTGCCGACGGTATTCACATGAACGTGTTAAGGGGCTCATTGGCCGATGCTTCAGCGGGTGAGTAACGACTGTCAAGAAGTTATATCGCTCGCCGAAAAGCTTGGCAGAATGATAGATTGAGGCGTTTTTTAAAAGTAGTCGTCGCGGATTGACAACATAGGAAATGGTACGAACCGCCCTGGGGGCCGTTAACGATTGGCCCAGTTGAATGGTTATTTTAAGAATGAAGTTAGCGGTACCGGCTAAGATGGCTGATAGATTAATGTAGCTATAGACGCCCAGCCGAGTTTCCTTTCTCACACCTAGTTGTTTTCGTGGCATTTACGGCGGTAAAATATCAGGAACTTCAGCGCATGTGCTTAATAGTGCATGCACGCCGTAGTGTTCTGCGAACTGTCCCACACCGTCTTCCTTGCTTTGCCGAATCACGCAAAATTGGCTCAGCTTGCTTTTGCGGTGTAATAGGCATCATTACTAGAAATTTGCGACAAATGTCTCATATAAACAAGACTTCGCCGATGCATGATCCAGGACTGGCGTTTAATCGGAATCACACACTAGTCTGACTTACTTGTACTTACTTGGTGTGACCACTGGAACTTACTGCGAAAGATATGCCGGTCTGACAAACCATGCTATTTGGGAAGCTTCCGGAATTAAATGTATTGGGGATAAATTTATTATAAATGAATTTAGTTGGGCTGTCTGCATCCTAGAGTTAATCGCTCGAAGTGATCACACATGGAAATTATAAACGCTTATTTATTCATTTAGTGGAGTTTGACGATGGCGTATTTAGCCGTGTCATTGACAACATCTTGTCGTTTCATACTAATAACGTTTAGGATTGCTGAGATATTTTATTACATTGACATAACACGGTAGCTACGCTTTATAGAAGTATCTTGCGAGTATTCAGCAGTGACCAGTCAAGTATGCCACGATGTAGTGTATTCAGATGTTTGACAACGTCTGAAAAATGGTTACTAGCACTAGTGCACTCACGAACGCGCACAGGACTACCGTCGTTGCCCTGATTAAAAATATCTAACTGCCTAATTAAAACTGCAATCCAACAATTAGTATCGGCTACAGAAGCGTATTTTATTCGCATCACCGTTTGACATGTTTACTTTTTTTTCGCTCGTGTTGACAGACAGTTGACAATGTTTGCATCCGGTTCATGGTTGGCAGTCGTAGACATCAACACTCTTAAACGCCGCTCGTTTTAATACTAGTTACAACTTGCGAGCGTAGCGAGTCTAATGCATCATAATGCCTTACGAATTCTCCTACGCTCTGTTATCTTTTAAGCTCGCGCTAAGTCGCTATAATGACCCTCATGGTTAGCTTGTTCTTCGAAGATGCATCGCTTGTACAACGGTATATGATTTTTGCGATGCAATCGTGAAGCTGTAGAGAGCTGTACAGTACAGAGAGAGAGAGAGAGAGAGAGAAAGAGAGAGAAAGAGAGAGAGAGAGAGAGTATGAGGGAGGGAGAGAGAGAGAAAGAGAGAGTATGTGAGGGAGAAAGAGAGAGAGAGAGAGTATGAGGGAGGGAGAGAGAGAGAGAAAGAGAGAGTATGTGAGGGAGAGAGAGAGAGAGAAAGAGAGTGTGTGCGTGTGTGCCTACGTGCGCGCGTGGGTGTGGATGCGCACCTGTAGGGGAGGGGGCTTCTATACAAGTTTACAGGTGTCCAATGTGGGCGCTATCCCGCGTCAGTTGGCGTACAACTATACTATTGGGTGATTGTTATAGTGAGTGGGTGGCGATTATCAAACACACGTTAATAGCAGTTTGATGCGTTGCAACAGCTGACTAACACAATAGTCTTGGCGAAACAGCCGTGGGTGTGTGCACGCTAACGTATTTTTTTAAGTATTTATTAGCAGCAATTATGATAATGATGATTATTATATTCTTTTTCCTCCTCTCTAAGCACTGTTAGACAACCAACTGCAAAATACAAAAAAGTGACTGAATTTGAAAAGGTGTATTATAGTGTGTGCGCTTTAAGCTTATCTTTACACATTACAAGAAAAATCCCCAAATTAAAATTAGGTACCATGGTTATATTGATACTACATACAGTGTTTTTAACTAATAAATATAGTTCAAATACACGCGTAACCACATCTACTCATTGTTAAAATGCGGTCACTTTCAAAAGAACATAATCACGAAAAGTATCAATTCAGACATTATGCGTTTTTATTACCGAATTATAATAACTTGTAATAAATATTTTGTAATTAAAAAAATTCCGGTTTTTAAAACAGAACAGAACCATGCCTTCGTCCGATTCATAACGGTAACTAATAGATCACGCGTTTGTGTATTCATTGCAGGACGCGCCCGGTGAGGAATAACAGAAGACACTCGTGTCCGATTCCTGTGAGCCATTCTGGGCCGGTTCTGCTACAGATCTACGATTCAGACACCGAGAACGACTGGCAGCAGGTGAGCTCTCACATTCTTACATATACAACGCAGTAACATCACAAGGCGTTATATTTCGCCTATCTATTTCTTCTCGATAAAACTAGTAGTTCGGCGTTACTAGGCATCCTAATGCAATCTATAGGCACGGTGACACACAATCTAGGAAGCCATGGTGACTAATGCACAGTTTATAAGCTACACCTTCTGTGTTTCTACGTGATGTAGCGATGCAGAATAAACCTTGCTATATTATACACTACGCCTTCGACCATCATTGTTTACCTACCAGTAAGAACGACACAAGAACCTTTCCTACAGTGAACATAACGCACGCATGATTAGCAGAAATGCGTCATTAGCGGCATGAACAAAAACGATCTGCTCTTTTGTTTCAGTGCGGCCAGCACTTTCCCGACGATCTTACCGAGCTCTCTGAGAATGAGCCCGCTACGTACGACCCTTACACGCCTGGCGTCGGCCACGGCGACCCCGCGCACGTGAACCGCGTCGCCATGTGTCAGCCGGTCGGCGCGCTCGTCGTCGCGCCACAGAGGGCGACGTGGTACTGCGACATCGACATCGACAACCACAACCACCACGTCGCCCTTCGCGCGCAGGCGATGAAACACAGCAAGAGCGAGCAGCACCTAGAGATACTCGGCATGCCACGCAGCGGTATGAGACAGCGCGCCAAGTCGTCGGTGAACCTGTGGGAGAAAGACGACGACAAGACGAAATCGAAGAAGTCGCTCGGCGATCGGTTTAGGACGCTCTTCAAGAACAAGGAGAAGTTAAACGCGACGAACAGAGACAACCAATACGCCAGTCGCAACACGGGCAGCGCCACCAAGCAGCAAGTAGACGACGTCAGTTACTGCAGTACGAATATCATCAGCGCTCCGATGCCGCTGTACATACCTCAGTTCGGAACGCAGCCGCCCCAACGCCCGCCTCCCTCACTCGCCCCTACCACGCGGCTCGCCAACATCCTACAGTCGGACGAGGCACTGGGCAAATTCAAGGTGCATCTACGCACGGATGAGGCAGCTGTCGCTCCAACACCTGCTTTTGCGTGTAAACCGGAACTGTTGCCACGGAAACCGATTGTGAAGCCACCGCTGCCACTGCCCCGCAAACCACTGCGGCCACAATTAGCAGAGTGTGGTCCGCGCACTGAGAGCCCCGACAATAACATCGTTATGCCTATCATCACCGCCGACGATTCCGATATTAGAATATCCTACTGCAATATCTCGCACTGTGGCAAGAAAGGGCCGACGACGGAGAGAGGTTACTCTCTGACGAACGAGGCTCTTCTGGGAGGTTCACGTCGAAGTTCCTTCGATGCAGGACGCGTGTGGAAACGCAAGACCTCAGAGGACGTGCTGGCGCAGAGAGCCGTAGAGTTGTACGAAAGCAGTGAACGTTACTGTCGGCTGCCTTACGTTAACGTGCGACACGATGTGACCAACGACGCGAGCAAGACGACCACGCAGAAAGCGCTGCCTCCCCCTCTTCCGAGAAGAAACAACAACATGAGGCCCTCGGCAAGCGAGTCACAACTGAACGCCAAAGTACAGTCGTTGACGAATGCCGTCACAGATGTGACTGTCGTTGACGAAATGACAACTCGTGCGCCACCGCCTTTGCCGAAACGAAACATAATGACAATGTAAGTGCTACATCACATAATTTTTAATAAAGCTTAGCATGATTTATCAAGTAGGTATGATGCTTATCACTGGTCTAAGTCTAATACGATCTCTCAGCTAGGCATGAGTTCGTGATGTCGTCGTGTCGCTCATGTTTTCTCAACTCGTGAATTTAGTTTTATATTTATTCTGTTTATTTCGCCCCGCACATCCAGCCCCATCAACAGCAACCTGGTTGTGTGCACGACGCCATCGCCAAAGACCAACGACGGCAGTTCCTGCCAGCCTAAGCGACAAGGCTCCAGCGCTTCTGCCAGCTCCTGCGACTCTGCCAACCTCAGCGTGTCACGTGCCAGTTCCAATACCAGCAGCTCTAGCGATGCTCGCTCGCGCCTGTCTCTGCCTCGTACGGAGTCGCAGAATTCGGGCTCGTCGGCCGATTCAGCTGTTGGCATGACAACGGGAACGCCGCCTTTGTACATCGTCAGCAACAGTAGCGTCGAAAACTGGCATTCGAGTATGCAGCAGGCGAAGTCGTTGGGTAGTCTTTGTGATGGTAAGTGACATATGCAACTGATAGACCGCGCACGCATGCTTCGTACACGTGTGTGTGTGTGTGTGTGTGTGTGTGTGTGTGTGTGTGTGTGCGTGCGTGCGTGCGTGCGTGCGTGCGTGCGTGCGTGCATATACCTTGGTGCTGTTTTAAAATATATACTATAGGGAATGTTCTACAATATCATCAAGGTCCTAAGACATGCCTAATTACATGTTGTAGTAAAACCTTCTCACGGAGACATAACGGACAATTTAGACCACATCTTGACACACATTACTGTATCGTGTCACTGGACCTATATCTGTAATGAAATTAGGCATAGTTTCCTGTCATTGTTGATTTTTGTTTAGTTTAAAAAGTGTTCTTTTCGTGTTCCATCAACGAATGATGATTTTGGCATCTAGATAATTATTATTATTATCAGAAACCTCATTAATCTCTATGTATCTACGTGTTACAGGTAACGAAGAAAGGGAAAGGGGGAACCATCCTAGATCACACGGAGACTTGCCATCTTGCGAACCAATTTCACAGATGATAAATGGTAAGTAAATTGAAAGTTTTGCTTGTATTTAGAACATGGCAGGTTCTTCATGTATAACACTATTGCTGGTACAGTTATGTGCTTCCGTGGCGGTTCTTCTCACGGATAAATTTTGGTTGTTTATATGTCACTTTAATTATAAGGTGAACATATCACTAGTTCTCATTTGCAGGTTAGGCACGTGTGCAGTAAAACAACGTTTAAATTATAAAAGTTTAATAAATTATAAAGAAAACATTGAGCGCCGACGCACGATGTTACAGCATGTGCGCATTCGATCACAGACACGGGAGGCGCTGCTAAATTCCAGGCTAATTGCTTAATTGCGTTACACAGCGCCACCTGCTTCGGAACGATGAGGTGGATATTGGCCTCTGAGTGTCCTTTCCTTTGTGATCGCATCATTTATTACGATTTAACGAGGGCTGTATATGCCTCGCGGGATTGCATATATCCAATGCGACCGTTGTTTCACTTTTGTTGGCTCGCGGGCGTATTTACGGACGGACAGTTGTCAATAGTGCTTAATTAATTGAACTGTAATTACAAAATAACTAACTGTAATAAATGAAAGTAGTAAGTAGTTGACAGCGGCAATTCGGGGCTGCGGCGTGCAATGTTCGTCTGCTATATTCTGAATGTCCGTCGGTGAGCGCTCGACCCACTAACACGAATAGACGCCAAATTGCCGTGCCGCTTTACAAGCCATAAATTATGAGCAATTTGATTTTTTATATATAAGAGGGTAATATCTTCACAATTTTTACCATAAAATGCTAGCTCTTGCTACCATTTCATTGGACTTTATGGGTTTGAGTCAAATAATGGAGTCGCTTTCCATTTGAAATTGATGTCAAAAATGATTCCATCATGGCATTGAGATATTTCTAGACACAAAATTCTTCCCAAGTTATTACGACAGACATGCATGGTAATAAAGTGCGTTTTCGCCAACCGATCAAAAGATTACATCTATTTTTATTCGAACACACGCGATTGGGAATTCGTGAAGAAATTCAAGCACACGACTGAAGAAATATACGAGTGACATCCGACGTGCTATTGGGGGCGTAAACATATTATTTCTCCTCATATTTGAATCGATCTGCGTAACCATGTTAGACTTTCTTCTATGACTATTTGCGTAAATCCACCAACGCTTCTCCTTCGGGCAGCTGTTAAGTCTAGCGGACTTCCTGAAGAGTTCATAGACCTTGTATGAGAGAAGGATGTCATTCCTCTACACTTACATTGAGTTAAGTGTAAAGGGGATTAGCTTTGAAAGGGAGTTTGCATTGAAAAGTAATTATATGAACGTGTTTTTATTTTCTTAACGAAAATTCTGTAAAACCACAAGCTCCACCATAGCTTGCTGTAATTGAAGAAACGCCATATCGTCTGTGCAATGTTATTCTGGTGGGGAAAGTAGGTCTATATCTTCAGTTTCTGTATGAAGTATGTCATATAATAGAGCAAGGTCTTTCAGGACCATTCGAATCTGCGTTTCTAAGTAGTTTCATAGATTAATTTAGCGCCCGTTACAAATACTTAGTACGCAGTGTGCTTTCTCAACCCATAACTCCACATGACCGAAGAGCATTCATATCGGAATGTTAGATAGCCTTGCTCACCACGCAATCCGACACCATCTGGTCTCACGGTGAAAGTAAAATAAACGAGACAATTGTTGAGTATCTAGGGCAGGACGTGTTGGTATTGTGGCACGCGTGTAACCCCACGCTATAGAAGGTGCAGATTGACCAGTCTCGAGTGCAAAGGAATTAATGGTTAGTTAGCATTCTGCATAGAAGTACGGCATCGCGAAAAGGGCGGTGCATAGTTCATAAGACAAAGTATGAATGTTAATTTTCTCATCCTCATTTAAAACGTTTAAGAGGTTCATAAAATCAATAGGTGTGCTTCTGACCTGCTTACATCTTTTACTGGCCGGTGGCCGATCTTTTACGGGTTGATGCCAGTACGCATTGAAGGAGTACGTTTGGTATTTCTGCACGGGATAAACTAACTAAGTAGTTAGGTAATATCAAGAGTAGATAATAGAGATGTATTAGAGATGTATATAGAGAGCTCTATTATGTACTCTTGGTAATATCTGTTGCTAATAAGAAGCCATCTACACGGTCTAGACCCGGTTGGCTAAAGAGTGTATCATAAAGGTATTAAATGACCAGGTGAATAAATAATTTGTACCATCATCCCAAAATGTATTTCTGAGCCTAAGTTGATTAAAAAGTTTTCCAAGATTGTTAAAAATATTTTAAAAAAAACGCTTGTCATGGGATCTCTTGTACTGGAAAGAAAGCCCGTCTTGCGTGTTGGAATTTAACAAATGTTACAGCAGCATGAAAAGGATGAAACAGTTATTTGACCATGAAAGAAATAGAGAAGCATTACATGGACAGTCGCTCAATAGCCGTTTTGATCCACATAACGAACATCAAAAATATGCTGGCATATAATAATTACTATAATTAATAGAATATAAAGTACAGGGCCACACTTTCTTTGTGCGAATTAGTTAGTGCATTGCATGTTCGATAACAATTTTATTTCGCACCATACAAGAAGACAGTATTCATGCGGATCAGTAAATTATGTTGCAATCGATTTGCGTGCATTGGTCATATATGTGAATTTTAAGCATGGTCAATAGGGAAAGAACTCTTGATAAAATATAGGTCCCGTCCTCGAAGCTCATGATTTAGAAACTAGCAACCCGTTCTTCGGTTCCTCGCTTGTCGGTCCCTGCATTGACAAGAAATCAGTTCTAAGCACTGGTAAAATGTAATTGCTGATTGAGGTCTTGGTGATAGAGACTGAATACTGCGTCGGATGGAACCTACTTACGGGAGCGTTGATGAGATCTAAAAGCAGCTTAGCTCGTTAGCATTCTTAGTGTCACCGCTTACCATTACCTGCTGAGATGTGGAGACTTTTCTTTCATCGTCGCAAACAATGAACCGGTTGTGACACCACCAAGAAAGTTTCCCATTATAAATTTTGTGAATCTACGGCATTCTTGTGGGAACTGTTATAGGTTACTAGTGTATTTTGGCCAACCACATGTTACCACTGTGCATTACCGGTGGGCTATAGGAACGCTATGGAAGAACTAGGAAGCTACTGGTTACAACCTTCAAATGAAAGTGGTCAAAATTTCTACTAATAGCCGTATATAGTGCGTGCTGAGAGAATTAGTGACACTGATTTCACTACACTGTGTGCACTAGCCCAGTTAACATGGCTCTCTGTAAGAACAGTGACCATCTCTGTTGTTGTCCGTCCCTGGGGTTCGGGTATGTTATACTGTCGATACTGAGGCGGGCTCCCACGTCCACAATGCCGCGTTGATTCGCGCAGGTTCTTAGTCGGACCACTGAAACTGAAAGCCTGCCATTGTTTATAAGTCTCACGTCGGATCACTTTCCCGCGGGCGATTCACGATGTCATTGTGTATACCCAGCGAGAACATGCGCGAACGTCGGAGAGAGTTTACATCTGCTCAACGAGGCAAAGGTGTGGCAGTTCTCTGTCCGGCACAGTAACCCATATATGCACGCACACGTGCCAAGCGGCTGCGCATCCTCAAAGGCACAAACCGTACGTGGACAGTACCAGCTTGTGATCGGGGCGCTGTGTTGTCGCGACACATATCCTCCTTATTGAGTTATTTAGGGTGTGGTTGTGTACCCACGTGTTCCACGGCTCTCTTTAACATTTGTTTCTCTACACATTAACTTAATTCGCGCCTGTTCTGAAAACAGAGGGTACTGCAAAAATCGTCAAGTGTGAACGGAGTTCATCACTTGAGCGGCATGAGCGAGTAGAGCAACTGTGATAGCGTCTAGACTCCAGGGCATGTAGAGTGTATGTAATATGTAAATTGCTAGATTCTAATCCCATGCAGGCGCTCGTATGTTCGACGACAGGTTTTGAACCTTTAAACACACTCTGCGACCCAGAGCACGGTTATACTCCATTTTTATTAAAACGCAAAGCAGTGGTTCCCTCAAGCGCATGAGCGTGTTATTAATTCAACTAATGACCCGCAGCCCTATTTTGAACTACAATCAATAGACCAGAAAGATGCAAACTTGTATTCGATTGATAAGGTTGTGGTGGTGAATGCCTAGCCAAGCCGGCACAGTCTGACATTTATAGATGACCCATAACTCGAGCTTCCGAGCGTTAACTATATTAAAATTGGCAAACACGAGTTGTCTTCTAAAGCTGTCGGGGCTAAGGATACATTATACATGCCACGCAACACACGGTATGTAATACATCGAGAACTGACATTCGGGTTTGAATTAGAAGACACCTAGCATGCCGATTTCTGTCGTCCTATATCGTGAGACGAATGTGCGCTGTGCAATAGTACTTTTTTTATTTTATTATGGTTTTATAATTATGCTATATCAAAATATTGTATAATATTGTGTTCTAATATGAGCTATAATCTATTGTGGGTATTTCATACTCTTATTACATTATGTACATCATCATACATGATGTTCTAATTGTGTTTTGTATTTTCGCCGTATTCTAACCGAGACGTATCTAGACCGTAACTATCAAAACTTGGAGCAAAAACATGTTTATGCTAGATGGCAGCACCACTCAGCGGCAACCTTAACCTTAAACGCGCAGTATTAGAATTACGTTTACGTTACATGACATGCTCTACAGAAATTACAATGCGGAATTTTCACAGACACGTACGCGCACGCACGCGTATACACACATACGCAACCACCCACCCACCAGCACACACGTACACACGCGCGCGCGCGTACGCACACACACGCGCACGCGCACGCGCGCGCGCACACACACACACACACAGCACACCTCACATACCACACACACATACACACAATCGCGCGCGCACACACACCATCACACACACACACACACACACACACACACACACCCACACACACACACACACACAACACACACACACACCATTATAACATTAACCAGCAACCTTGTCAACATCCCCGCACAATCTCTCAAGTAGAACTCTGACGGCATTTGCCACGAAGGCATTCAGAAGTAAGTAAGGAGGCGCGGGATCTACCGGATGTGTAAGAGCTACGGCGCATATAGTCAGCACGAAATCGGGGGGACGCTAGGAGGCGGGCCATCGGATTAGTGTACAGTCGATCGGTCCAGCGAGTCATGGGCCATCCTGTCTCACAATCACACGTACGTTCATAAAAAAAGCAAATAAATAAATCTAAACTACAAAATCTAATTTTCTCTAATCAATTCGCGACATATACCGAAAATTTCCTTGTCAATCCGGTACAAACTCTCGGCAACACAGCATACACACCCGGCACCACGCTGCACACACGACCCATATAATCAGAAGATACATTTAAAGGAAAAGTAAAGGATAAGGCCGCGAGGGCGGATCCAGAGTGGGTCGAGGGTCCGGACACGCCCTTTACCGAACTAAAAAAAAGAAAAAAAGCATACACACACACGCACCATGCCGCACGTCACACATACCACACACACACGCACGCAACACACACACACACACACACACACACACACACTCACCACACACACACACACACACTTCGCTATATTGCCCCATAAAAAATCTGGGTACGTAGTTTTCTGGATAAAGATTTACAAATCATGAACTTATAGAAAACCTAGAATGACAAAGGAGGGCCGCACGCTGGGGAACCAGCTGAACGAAAAAGTTGTGGCATTCTAGAGCCATCAAAAACGGCCATATCTCTCAAATGCACTCAATCAAAAAAAACTGGGGAGGGGCCCACCCCCCCCCTAAGTCCCGCGCGGGCTTTAAAACACCAAAAAATACAGAAAAAGTGCCTCTTTATCCTGGACCCACTCACAAATCCTCGGACCCCCTTAAGGTCCGAACCGATATATACACAAATAATAGCGTCAATAATAATAATAAAGTGTTGTGTTGTGGTGGTGTGGGGGTGGTGTGGGGATGTGTTGGGGGGGGGGTGGGTTGTGTGGTGTGGGTGTGGTGTTGTGTGTTGTGGTGGGGTGTGTGGGTGGGTGGTTGGTGTGCGTCAGCTGTGCGGCAGCCGGTGCGTGCGGTGTACAATTGTTGCAGAGAACCCATTGCAAAGTGCACTTTACAGAATTCGACAATAATACGCAAAGCAGCTAGAGAAACATGGAACTTCAGCAATCATTCGGTATATTTAGCATATATTATTAAAACGCCCAATGCCTCCACGTCTGTTAAACTGAAGCTTGTCGCGCAGCGCGGGCGGTCGTTCCAAGTAACGTATACGGCTCAATCTGCAGGAAGCGCTGCTAACCTGGCACTTGGGCGCGACCGGTAAACGACACACCGGCGTCGCTAACGCCGGGGGAGGAGGGGGTACACATGCTAGATGTGCACTAAAGAATGCAGTGCTTGGCAACTTTCGATAATAGGACGCGCTGTGGATGAGCCGACAGTTTCAAACGGAGCTCGAGCGATGAACTCTATTCAGCACCCGCGCAGCTCCATCTTGGTAGCGAACGAATAATAAATACTAATTAATATATAATAATAATATATATATATATGGAAGAATGAAGAGAATGAGAAAGAACATGAGAAAAAAACGAACAAATTAAAACGAAATCGCAAAAAAATAACGATGGAAAGAGGTCAGGGAATTGGTGACTAGAGCGTGTCCGAACGAGAGAGGGAGGTAGAGGTTCAGAGAACGACAATTAGCAAACAGGCGGATAGCACTGCAGACAGTCAGTCAGACAGACAGACAGACAGACAGAACCAGACAGACAGACAACAACAGACAGCCAGACAGACCGCCGCGGACGGACGACGTGACCAGACGGACCAACAGGTGGCCGACGGGGTGGCGACGACGGGGACGACAGACAAAGATACCGGCAGAGAGTGAAAAACAGACGGACAAATAGACAGAAAATGAGAGAGAGAGAGAGAGAAAGAAAATAATGAGGGAAAGCGAGGAAGGGAGGAGAAACAGAAAGAAGATTCGAAAAAGAGCGAGAGAGAAGCGAGAGCGCATTAGATACGGATAACTAGAGCGAGAGAAAGGGAGAAGAAAGAGAGAGAAAGAGAGAGCGCGCGCACGCGAGAGAGAGAGAGAGAGAGAGAGAGAAGAGAGAGAGGGTGGACTGAGAAAATCGCGCGCACGAGAGAGAGAAGGTGAAGAGAGCTTTATTCGGCATATGCGCGCGCGTGATCACCTTCAGCTGTGGTCGGCGTGCGCCCACGCCCCGCGGGGAGGAGGATCCGCTTAACCATGCTCATCTCCTGCGCACATTGTAGCAGCACGTCCGCGAACACTGCCCCTCTCTGTCAATGATCATACACGCACGGCGGAGGCTCTGTGGAGAACCCCACGCGTTGCCGGCGACGTGCCCTTCGCCTAGCATCCGCTGTCGCGCGCTGACGGCCCAGTTCTACACAGTGATGACTCTAGGCGAAGCTTACGTGCGCGTTTTTTGACGCCGTGACCCATTTCGCGTCGCGTGCGCCGTCGCGCGCGTGCGGCAGCACGAGCAGACGGCTGCAGAGATGGTTAGGACTGCGCGCGTGTTCTCCTTCAGTTCGAGGCATTGGGATCTCACTGTTGTTGCCGTGCAGCGTAAGTGCATCTCGGACAAGATCGCATAGGGCTGACCAGCGGCCGCCTAGAACATCTCCGCTGCCGTCGGTGTGGTGGTAATGTGTGTCTGTAGCGGTGTGTGGCAGTGTGTCCGCTGACAGCTTTCCGGAAGAATCATTGATGTCTATCAAATTGTGGAGATGCTTTGTCAAGTGCTCACTAGTTTTGATAGGAATAGATGTAATAGTAGGGGAATAGATCTAACACAATCTTGTTGTGTTTCGCTTTGCAACTCATGTTGTTGAGGGCAGATCTTGATATTATTGATTTACATCAGTATTGATAAGCCGCCGACGAAGATTAAAGCGAAATAGTTGATGGTGCTGCTACTGCTGCTACTACTGCTACTACTACTACTACTACTACTACTGCTGCTGCTGCTGCTGCTGCTGCTGCTGCTGCTGCTGCGGCTGCTGCTGCTGCTGATGATGATGATGACGACGACGATGACGTTGATTATGCCGATGGCACCATGACGATGACGTCATAATACATGCTCACTAAAATATATAAATGTTCTATTGCCAGCTATGCTGCTTCGCGGGCATGTATCAGTCATCCTCCCTGTGCTATTGCTCATATCGAGAATCCTACATGACGACAACGCTAACTCTAGCCATCTCCTATGTCGTGTGCTACAGTTGATCAGAAGACGTACCCGGATCATGGGAGAGCGACGCGGCCGAGGGCTCAGCGTCGCAGTGATTCGATCGGCTCCAGGTCAGCGAGTGAGTCATCGGTGCAGAGGGACAGTCCGACAGCGACGAACCTCAGCAGCTCCTCGTCCACCCGGCTTTCGTCAGCCGCCGAAAAGGTAAGCATGCTGTGTGGATGCACCAGAGGGCGCCGGGTTGCCTGACATGCTACCATCGCTTGCGCGTTTCCGATTGGCGGGTTGATAGAACCGACTCTCCGTGTGCTAGTTAGGCGAGACAGATGCTTCTAGGTTACGTAACGTTTATCATTAGGGCAAGTCAGCGCGCTAAATGAATTCTTGTAATTATTAAGTCATCACCACTTCGGCGTCATTTTTCTCATTATTTCTATTGTTAGTAAATACGATCGGTGTCAGTATATCCCAGTGTAAACACACACACACACACACACACACACACACACACACACACACACACACACACACACACACACACACACACACACACACACACACACACACAATCTGTGTACCGTATCTCCCGGCGTATGTGATGCCCCCGTGAACACCCAATGTGCGTGCTACCGTCATTAACATCCATGTTTTGTTCCGCGCCAAATCGTATGTTGCCTAAGCAAGCTTTGAAGGTTGCCGACACACGAGCAGTGACCACATCCTTCGCAATTTCTAGACGCATTGATAGAAGTTTATAAATTGCACACAGCTCGTTGCCACATGTTTCAACATGGGGGCAGGTACGTGGTTCTATCGAATTCGTACTCACAGGTGTAGGCCCTACACGCAGCATACACTCCATATATGGTTTACATTGTAAGCGCACGTTTATTTCAGACGTATACATCGGAGGATGAAGACCTGTCCGACGATGATGACTACATCAGTGCGCGCGGCATTCGGAAAGAGAACAGAGACTCGCGTTTCCACTGCGAGCCACTCTACCAGTATTATCACGAGGTAATCAGTGTGTAAGCTTGGCCGCGGGCGCTGAAAAAAGGGACAGACGAATGGCTAAACGTCTTATTTCATCTCTGTGTAATGTTTAAGGAAGGAAAATGTGCATGCGTGATTATGCAATCAATCGACGCGAGCGTGCACTTACGGGTTTCGTTACAGTCATTTCTGGCGGAAGATTAGTTGCGGTTATTGCAATATTATACAATTCTCATATGCACGAATACACGCACGCACGCGCGCATGTAGGCGGACAACACACAAAGAGGGAAAGAGACTGTGCAAGAGAGTGAAGGGGAAAGAAAGAGAGAAAGAGAGCGTAGGGAAAGAGGGAGAGGGAGAGCGACGGAACGCGCACTCATTTCTCACACGTCGGCGAATTCCTCGCGTGCATGTAGTCGCGAATCTTTGTCTCGCGCACATTCTCACACGGCAAGCTTGTGCCGACAGGACACGAGGCGACGGAACTCTAGCGGCGACGAAGACGACATCTATGAGACGTACGGCTGCAGCCCCGCGCACGACGACAGCGATCTCGTAGAGGAAGTATTCGAGGAAGCTGTCGCCTCCTACACATCCGTCCGCGAGGAAGACACGTCGATCAAAATACAGAGGTCGCTGTGGTGCGAGCTGCCCGAGGTGAAAAAGAGCGGCCTGCTGAACTTAATATCGGACAAAGAGTTGAAGCTACAGGAGGTGAGGAGACAGTGAAAGTCATTAAACTCCATCAAAATTCAAATTTATAACAGCCACTTTCGGCGATATTGTACGGTCGTGCCTAGTTAAAACACGGACGTGAAAAATGTGGATGTATAAGTTTCAAGATTAGTACTATACATACATTCACGTTTCGTCGTCGACTCTCGTTTCAGTCTATGTTTGAAGTGATCGCATCCGAGGCGTCGTATCTGCGTAGCCTTAACATTCTCATCAACAACTTTCTGCTGGCGCCTGAGTTCGAGCTGAAATCAGCGAGCTGTGTGGTAACGAGCAGCGACAAACACCACCTCTTCTCCAACATCGTCGCCGTGCGTGACGTCAGCGAAAAGTACACGTCATTCTATTTCTAATCAGATAATATACTAAGCAACATTTTCTCAGATATAAGACTCTATATAAATATTCTCACTGCTTTATCGTGATCATACTGATTTGGGTTAATATTTTTGGCGCGTTTCATCGAGGGAGCGTCGTAGTTTTTTTTCTAGGTGCCGAGAGATGTCGCGCTGTTGTGCGTTACTATGACCTCGCTAGCTGTGGTACGAAAACGTGGTGTAACACGAGGTTGTCTGCTCTCTAGCCGCAAGTGCCTGCATGTGCACGTTCGCATTGTGACATTTGGTAGTGCACATAGTCGGTCTACCGGTGAATTCCCCATGCGAAAGCGTACACGCGGACGCCACTGACCGCTTTCGCTCGTGAAGCATTTCTTCGGTGCACTCTCCAAAGAGCGTTACGTTTGTTGTAAAAAAAAAAGAAGCCTTCTTGCCGAAACGCACAGGCGACTGAAAATCCGCTTAACCTAGTTGTCGCAGAGGCAATGATTATAATGGCGGAATCGAGCAGCGACATCGCCAGCTATACTGACACACACGCCGCTTGTCTCTGTGTGCCGCAGGGTGATGAACGACCTCGAGAATCGCTGGAAGGAGAACTTGCTCATCTCGGAGATTAGCGACATCATCGCTCGCCACGCGTCAAGCTCGTTTGACGTCTACATTAAATACTGCTCAAACACCACCTATCAGGAGCGCACGCTGTCGAACCTGAAGTACGGGGTCGAGTATTTCTTGCTTATTCTACTGTATACGCGATAGGTTAGCATACGTAGCGTCTCAAGTTGGAAACAAAAAACCAGGCGGGCGTCGGTGAAGACAGATAAAATTGATTAAAATTACGCTTATTTTACATTATTCTAGTATTCATAAACGCGCATGAATATTCGTCTTCATTAATTTCCTTTGTTGGAATTTTGGTTGAACGCAGAAAGTCAAATCCATCGTTCCTGGAAGCACTAAGAAGGCTAGAGTCAGTGCCTGAGAGTGAGGGTCTCAGCATGCACTCTTTCATGCTGCTGCCCATGCAGCGCATCACCCGCCTTCCTCTCCTGTTGGAAGCGGTAAAGAGTAGGGTGGACACCGATTCCGCAAAGTTTAAAACCATATGCAAAACTCTTGTCGAACTTAAAAAGGTACGCATATTTAATCTCATCGTCGAAATCACCAAGTTTTTTTCACGTGAGATATTTTCACGAAATCAAGCATTTACACTGGTATTAAAATTGTTTAATAATAATAATAATAATAATAATAATAATAACAATAATAATAATGAATAGCTCTTATTTTCTGCAAATACTTCGGGATTGTAGATTGTGAGTGCGTGCAACGAGGGATCACGGAAAATGGACCGCATGGAACAGCTGTGCCACATTAGCAGCCAGCTTGACTTTAAAATTAAGGTTTGTACCGAATATAGTAATGTCGTACAAAACACGAACGATCGTACGAATATCGTAGGAACGCGTTACGAAGCATCGTAATAAGATTATGAGCAAAACAGCTTTCGTAATTATCCACAGCTTAACGTTTAAGATTGTCCACATTATTATGATATCGATCGATTTCTTAGCAACCGCGTTTAAGCAATCGTTTCGCCGTAATCTATTCCGAATATCGACGACGCGAGGTAAAGACGAAGCGCCGCTCTATTATCCTTGGCAGAAACTACCTCTCGTGTCTTCGAGTCGCTGGTTGGTGAAGAAGGGTGACGTCACACGCATAATACCAGCCGCCGCGGCGAAGCTTACGTTTGGTATGCGCCGGCAGTTGACTCAAACTATCACGCTCTTTCTCTTCAATGACGTGCTGCTTGTCGCAAAGAAAAAGGGGTAAGTGCTGTCCGTTCTATATTAACGAGTGTACAGAAACATGAGTGTAATGACAAAACCGGAGCGAGAGAGATCGCGAGTGATAATGAGAGAGAAAACGAGAGAACGAGCGTGAGATGATAAGTAAGTGGGGGAGGAAAAGGGAAAGAGGGATGGTGAGATAGTGCGAGAGAGATGTGGCGAGGTGAAAGATAAGGTAAAAGAGAGCGCGAGAGAGAGGAAGAAAGCTTACGGAAAGTTTTATGGAATGGTAAAGTCAGCCAGAATTTTTGTGGAAATCAAATGGCATTAGGAATCGAATTGAAGCCAGCCTGAAATCAACCGATAAGGAAAGGAAGGTGCTTCATCGCGTCACTAACAGAATCTGGCTTGTGTTCTTGCAGTGAGGGGAACTATATGGTCATCGATTCCGCTTGGAGGACATTTCTGGAGGCTAGACACATAGAAGACCTTGATAGCTATGCTAGGCTGCCCAAAGGTGTACCAAGCAGCTGCAAATACGTCATCGAACTTGTCATGTTTGAAAACCACGCTGGCAAGCACGACGAAATGATCATCTCGTTTAACTCAGAGTGAGTAACCATTGCCACCATTGTTGGTGTCGCTATAACTATTGCAATCGGTTTACGCCGAAGAGTATAAAGTATTTTATCCGAGTAGAAACTCTGTCCTATGGTGCGAAATTATCATTTACACCAATCATTATCATTAATCAACGATCAGCAAGTGATTGGCAGTTAGAGCGGTTAATATATTCTACATGGCCTGATGATACGTGGTCACATCCCGTTGTTACAATGTTGTGCACAGCCTTCGATTGATAGGGCTGTTACATTTTAGGAACGAGTGCATGCGCTGGATGGACGTGCTTAACACTGAGCATCAGCAGGCGAACGGGGAGAAGATCTACGAGTTGTGGGGTAAGGATCCCCTACATACGTCGCCATGTATAAAACCCCGTTCTAATCGATTTAACTTTCTTCTCACACGGGCTACACGTTTAACTACAAGTTGACACATTCATCAATATAGCATTAACTTCGTGAACTACGATAACATGGAACTAATACAGCTCACGGATGATTGATGCTGAAATGCTTTAAGATTATCATAAATTCAAGATAATATTTTTGAGAATGATTTCTTCAAGATCAAGATCGGTGAACGAAGTCGTAGCACTTGGTGTGTTTTTTGTCTTCTAGATTGTCCGCAAGTTCAGATCGTTCACAAGTACGTCGCCCAGCAGCCGGACGAGCTCTCGCTAGAAGTGAAGGACGTTGTCAATGTGACCCGCAAGCTGCATGATGGTGAGTTTACCAACCCTCGCTTGCTATAGGTAGTTTAACGGAAACTCAATTTACCAACGATGTATTTTATAGTAGCCAACGTATACGTTGAAAGAGTTAGACTGACTTTATTATATAATAGGTCCGCTGTGAGGTACCTATGCTGAATGTATTGTGTTTCAATTCATTGGTAAAAGTTCGTTCGACTCGGGCGAGTAAGAAACATTTTGACAAAGTGGTAATTGTAGTACATCTACTGTTCAACATCACTCTAACAAAGCTGATCATGTTCGTACAGCGTATCTATTAGGGCTGTCACTAACCAGCAGCGTTCGTATGTTTAACGCTAAAGAAACCATTTTCGTTCTGCAGGTTGGTACGAGGGCGAGAAGCTATCCGATGGCGAACGGGGTTGGTTCCCAGCCAACCACGTAGAGGAGATGGTCAACTCTCACGTACGCGCGAAGAATCTACGCTCGCGCCACCGCCTCCTCACGGAAACTCACGCCTACGTTGAGAAGCAACTGAAAGGTCGGGAGGTTGGAGGAAGGATTAAGCAGCAGCCCGTGGCAAACTTTGTGCTGTAGCGTTTCTGCGCGGTATTTAATACATGTACATAACATTGCGTTCATAAGTTTCGCGGTTAGAGATAGAGAGGAAGAGAAAGAAAAAGAGAGAGAATGAGAGAGATAGAGAGAGAAAGAGAGAGAGAGAGCGAGAGAGAGCCTGAAAAAGCGAAAGGAAAAACGAGAGAGAGAGAGAGAGAGAGCGCGCGCACGAGAGAGCGAGAGAGAACAATTTATAGTTTTCTGGGTCTCAAACTACTCTCAGCAACTACATAGATTATGTGTGGCAGGCCGACCATTTTACAAACTTGTACGCATCTTGTACGCATAAGCGTCGTTCTAATGATTAATATGTTAGTAAACAGTTGAGTTGACATAATATCGTCATTTGAATGCCTGCTGGCTGTCTGCGCATTTGTATATTTTCTAATATAACCAGCTAAATAAATGACGATATCCAAATGAATTATTAATTAGATTATAATAAACCAACGTTAACATCACATTTACAGATTTAATAACAGACTATTAAAGTTAGCCTATCTTCCAGATTGGGTGTACTGTAGTTGTGCTAGTTGCTTTGTTTCTGAGTGTCTATTCATAGGTCTGTCGCATATCACACTTATTGTTATCACACTAGTAAATATAGATATTCCGGGATTGAAGATGAGCGTAAATTATTTCATATTCTGATAAATATGAAACGTTCTGAGATTTTCAAACGAACTATTTAAGAACAAAAATAACGATATACAGTGATAAATATTGCAGCTTTTACATTTAATAGCCTAATTATTCAGATATCGTTAAACTACATAGCATTCGAAAACATGTGGAGTATTGTTTTCTTATTCACAATCTGGCACGGGTTTGGTAATGCCAATACACTTGCAGCATAAATATTGTATTTAACCTATTCGTACGAGCAACAAAGTAGGTTTCACCAAAGCATATTCCTTCGTGTAACAATAAAGCGATTCCCAAGTAAATAAGTTAGGTAAAAATAATTCATGCCTAGCTAACTGCAGAAACGATATGTAGGGGGCCCTCTACCGATAATTTGGAGTGGGCATTTATAGAGAAACCATGCGCAACTCGTATCACTTCTTCAAAATCTCATAAATATTTTGCGTGCCTTACAGTAGTTTATAATATAACTTAACTATTGTATTAACTTAATCTTTACTAGCAGCTATTACCTTGTAATCGGTTACTAGAACATGTACGTAAATAAGATGTAAATAAATCATTTACCGAGAAGTTATCGTTTGCCTTTCTTGTGTAACATGTTTCTTCTTATAAATGCCGTTCAATCAATAATCGCTCAATATGTATCAATTGAGCAACAAAGATGCTACAAATCACACCCAGCATTAAACAATCATACCTATTTACTAAAGCGCGCACACACACACACACACACACACACACACACACACACACACACACACACACACACACACACACACACACACACACACACACACACGCGCGCGCGCGCGCGCGCGCG